AGAGAGAGAGACAGCAAGAGAGGGAACACAAGCAGCGGGAGTGGGAGAGGGAGAAGCAGGCTTCCCGCGGAGCAGGGAGCCCGATGTGGGACTCGATCTCAGGACCCTGGGATCATGACCCAAGCTGAAGGCAGATGCTGAACAACTGAGCTACCCAGGCGCCCTGAATTTCATACTTCATCTGCACATTCATCTTTGTCAATAGCAGCTTAGGAACTATTACAATAAATACGTTACACACTACTTCCACAGTTCCTGCTATGCATGTCAACTGTGTGATTTTTTTTTTTTTTTTGGATTTCAGTTGAATGACACAAATGATAAACATTTTCTAAAAAGCTTAATTGAATATTGTCTCCTTTCATATCAGCTTTCTGTCGCTTTCTGATTTTTAGTTTTCCTCATTTAAGCTTTGTGGTTTATATATCTATCCATTGTAAAAAGGTATTTGTTTATACTACCAGCATATGTATGCATAGTATGTAATGAAAAAAGGCTTATAAAGCTAATGCCTGAAATTTATATGAGTATATTTAGTGTTCTATATCACCAGGGGATTTGATTATCATAACCTGTTCTTTCTGAGGCCTTAACAGATGTTAGTTTTGTATTTTCATATTCACATGTAAAGATTTTAGAATGTGATTCCCTGCAGATTGTGACTGGGCTTATTACTAAACACTCAGGGCATGGTAATAAAAAGAAACACTTCATTTTGATTCTAGGAGCTGATGATCTTCATAACAAACCTTGATAAAAAAGACACACTGCACAAGCTATTGTTGTTAGTCATTCAGGGATTGCCTAGCCCTAGAGAACATGAAGCAGTTTAGGAGGGTTGGTTATTCTACTGAACACCATAATTTAATGACCTAGACAATGAAATTTCAGATGTGCTGATTAAATTCATAGTTGACAGTTATATTCTAGAAAACCAGAATCAAATTCAGAATGATCTTGATCATTGAAAACATTCTTTTAAAGCAGAGCAAAATTAAAGGTGAATTTCAATATTATACTTAGAGACAGAAGAGCAATAAAAATATATGAAAAAAGAACTAGCCAGATGGAAGTATTATCTCTTGACTTCCTCATCCAGTAACTAAAAGTTTGGAAATGAAGAAATGACCTAGACATTCATCATTTAATAGTGAGAAAATTGCTTTCCTCCTATCCTTTCCTGCCTTTCTGAACAAGGACAAGCAGTCCAGGCCCATTCCCTCCCCTGCTTTATATCCTAGTGGTTCATCTGGGATGACTTTACCCTCACAGTGCTTATACCCACAATTTCTTCTGTTCAGTTGGCCTGAGAATATCGGTTTGTGTTGTTTTATATTCCCAACAAACATCCTGCTATTACTGTGCTAATTCATCTCTCTCTGTCTCTTCTTTGTAATCTAATCTCCATTTCCAGATTTCCAATTATTGCTAACAGCAATGGCAAAAGAAAGATTCCTCGGAATCATAATGATCACAAACTGAATAGTAAATCTATTATTATTGGGGAGGAGGGAGAGGGGTGCAATAAAAAGTCAGTCTCATTCCATCATTTAAGATATACTTGGAATCTTATCTTTATATGTTGTATTAAAACACTTGCATGACAACAAACCCTTCCTATGTGCCAGGAACAGTTCTTAATGCTGTACATGCTGAACTCATTTAATTCTTACCACAGTCCTGAGAGGTAGGTCCTGTGGGTCATGAAGCTGCGTTTACAGACAAAGCTCCCGAGAGGTTGGGTCGGTTGCCCAGGTGATAGTCTGGCTCTAGACTGAGACTGCACACCTAACTGCTACTCATACTGCCTTGCCACCAAAATGGAGGCTGGGTATCGGTCACAGCAGTTAGGCAGGAAGAAATCCGAGAGTATGTGAGAAACGGTAAAAAAATATTTTTTTTT